TTTTTCTTCGTGTGAATTTTTGTCCGAAAAATTCAAATATTCTATCAATTTTGCTAGGGGCTGACCACGCTTCAGAAAATAGAAAATAATGCTAGATTTTATAATTTTTTTCAAACAATATATTATTCACAACTGTGATATTTTTCGAACGTTCTCCAGAAACGATTCACTGTAATTGATAACTTTCAATTGTGCGTTGTCAGTTTACTGTAAGAATTTTCATCACATTGTGGTGGTCAAATGTATCGTTCATAGTGGATTATAGATAAGGTCAAATATTTGAGTCAACATACAGATGTATTAAAACTGAATGATAGAAACGAATTTTGTAGATGAAGAATTCGCGGTTTTCCCCTAGCAATTTTGTGTGTGTATTCATTTTTTCTTCAAATTTTATTGCTTTTACTGAGAATGACACGATTTTATTACAAAATATTTGCATGAATACAAAGAACATCCAAATGATGCCAATAGAAAAATTACGCGTATTTGTACCGCATTTATTCTGTCGAAAACGGAAATTATCACGAATGCCCATTGTGTGTATGAGGCTCCATATATTTATGTGGTAGCTGGTACGAAAGTTGTATCAGATGCAAACCAGAAAATTAAAATCAAAGTCGAAAAAGAGAACATTGCATGGCACCCTCATTATAGTCGATTAATTTTTGGTGCATTTGATATTGCCAAAATTACACTGAAAACGCCGTTAGTATTCAGCGATACCGTTGGTAGTATCGAACTCGTGAATAAGGATTACAAATTGAATAACCAATCAGAAGTGGTCACTGCCTATGGATATGGCGTGTTGAACAACACCGGACCATCGATATTGAGGCGTTGCGATGCAAACTATATATCTGATGTCGAACGAGCCAACACATTTATGCCAAGTCAGACTTTGTACTTTACCACTGGTGAAGCTACGAATGATGGCGAAATTATTACACCTGGCGATTCGGGTGGACCAGTCGTTTCAAAAACAAATGGCAAAATAGTGGGGATTACCAACGGTATGAATGGAACAACAGGTGGCCGCGGAACGTTCCTTCCAATTAGTCTATTTCTTGATTTTATTCATGACCCAAAGGTATCTAATCACAAAGCCCCAATTTTTATTCTTAACAACGCGGACAAAATCATTTTTGCATTAATTTCAGAGCGTGAAACCAATTCCACCTCCGCTTACACCTAACGAAGCTAAATTTATAGCCGATATAGCGGCACCGGGAAGTAAGTGTGCATTCGAAATTCGAACTAAATCAAACCGTTTCTAACGTCACTCTTTTTAATTTTAAATAGAGGAGAGGCAAATCAGAGATTTTTCATGATTAAATAAACATAATAATTCATTCGGAGATGTTTTTCTATTACAGAATTTCTTACTGCTTTCAAAAAAAATTTTGCCGATGCTGACGATGATGATCAAATACAATTTAATGCAATCATTTTGTCGAAAACGGAGATTTTGACATGTGCGCATAGTGTGCATGGCGCCCCATATGTCTACGTAATTGTCAATAAACTATCAAGAAATGCGACAGAACTTAAAGTCACTGAAGACCAGATAGAAATTCATAAGAAATTCGCATTGCCGGGGTTCGCATTTGACATTGCCAAGATTACACTTGAAGAACCGTTGGAGTTCAACGATAACGTCGGCAGCATCGATTTGGTGGACAAAGATTACAAAATGAATGACCCGTCCGAAATGGTCACTGTTTATGGTGATATGATATTGGATGGAACAATGAGAACGAGGCGTTATGATACAAAGTATTTGGATGGCGCCAAATGCAAACCGAAATATGGCGCTGCATTTGATGCAAATCATTTGATGTGTTACACTTTAGATGAAAGCATGGGAGCTCCCTCTGTGTTTGGGGGTCCAATGATTTCGAAAAAGAATAACAAACTCGTGGGCATGACCATATTTCATTCGCGTGATAAGCCAGTTGTTTTTCAACCGATTGCACCGTTGCTTGATTGGATCCGGAAGCCAAATGTAAGACGTAATCAAAGAAGAAGAAAGGCTTGAAAAAAGGGGTTTCAGGTGCCTGGAAAAGCTGAATACCGTCTCGTTTTTTGCCCCTGTCATTTGATTTTCATCAAGAGAACCAAATAAATTTGAAAATTTGAGAAAAATGCATTTTATTTTTCATTAGCCCATGCACAGTTATATGATTATCTGAAATAATTGCGATGAAAAGTCATTTGAAGAGTGAATTGAATCGACTCCAAAAGCAAATAAACATCACAGTCAAATCGGAATGAAATACATTTTGGGACAACAAATTGAAGAGTATCACCAAAGGCAGCAAAAAGTTATGGAATTTGTCGAAACAGTACCGCGGCAAATTCGGTTCCACCATCAACAAAATCAAAGTCAATGGATCTCAGACATTTGATGACACCGACAAAGCAAATTGCCTATCGAAAGTTTTCGAAGAGTCGCACAAAATCACAGCAGATTTCACCCATGAAAATGATACCGTTGGGATTCACACAAGCCCAGACACAATCCAGAATATTCTGCTGAAGAATCTACCGCAAACAGCGCTATTGTCTGGCTAACAAATGTACTGAATGATTGCATCAAATCGAG